ATTTGGGATGGGCTTTGACATGTGGCTTTGGCTTGAATAGAGGCACTGAGAGGCATGTTAGGTGATTTGAGCACCAGAGGTGGGGCAGATGTTTAAGATAGAAGGAGAAGATAAGCCAAGACATGGAAATGTGACCATATTTGGTAATACAGTAATAGTTCACTGTGACAAGAATAGTTCACTATTGAGTAGCTAGAGGAACTTGGAAAAATGGGGTGAAAACTTGAAAAGCAGCTGGGTCATGTCATAAGGAGTTTGCACTTAAAGAAGTACAAACAATGAGTATTTAAGTCTGTATAGTGTGTGTGTGTGTGTGTGTGTGTGTGTGTGTGTGTGTGTGTGTGTGTGTGAAGGATTTTGGCAAATAGCAAATTTATTAGAAGTTCATTTTTTATTGAACACTTACTGTGAACCAATGTATTATGAGACTTATGGTCTCTCAATTGTTCTTTTAGAAGCTTGCTCTCAGAATATTAATTGGGTGTTAGTAGGAATGATGGATGGAAGTGGGACACAGAGGATTTAGGAGACTGAGGATTGGCAAATGGAGGTAGGAGATGAGTCAGATGACTGCTACAATTTTCCAGATGAATAATTCTGGGAGCCTAAACTTAATTTATAGCATAGATCCCACTGAGGATGTTGCTTTTCTCCACAGGTTTGTCTTCTGATAGCATGGCTCTTGGACTGCATTTCCTGTCTGGCTTCAGCTTCTTGGCAGTGTGTAAGCTCATCATTGCACAGAGGTTTAAAATCATTGCCCTCCTCATCCAAAAGTCAGTAGAATCTTCACAGCTGCCCAACATTCTTTTCTTTGATTAAACACAAAGGTTTTACAAAAGATCTTGGTATATCTGTATTTATTTTCTCACTGACAGCATGTGAATTTTTTCCTGTTCTCCCAAGACAAAGTTTACTCAGCTAAACTATCAGAGGCATCCTAAGAAAAATTGCCTCTGTTCACAGTCACATCTCTTTCTTGCAAACGCAGACCTGTAGCAGATTTGCTTTTTCTGTTTCCTTTTTCCTTAAGGTAAAATGTGTTTAATTATTTTCTTGCCTTTCTCCTCTGAAAAACAACATGTTTCCTTCACTCCTAGTGACATTCAAAACAATTTGGGAGGGGAGATGCAGGCAGTGATATTACTTGCATACAGCTCTGCTTCCCTAGGAGGATTATAAAGTACTTTAAAACTACCAAAGAATGTTTATGCCTACACAGTTCAAAATACTTTCTGTGCTTTTATAAGAACCCATACAAATTCCACTTCTATCTATTTAACACTGTGGAGTCTCTGTGAATAGAGAAATCATTCTTTCCATTAAACGAGATAAAAAAAAATCCCATTGTAAGTAAAGCAGAATTATAATTGCCTAGTTAAAAGCTCCAGACAGCCCAGTTCACTGGGGACACTCCTTATGCATATAGGATAATGTACTTAAAATTATGGCAAGAGAGTGAAATGATTTTATTTTATGGGGATTTCTCCCATTCTTATCTGTGCATTTGCTACTGTACTTTTTAAAATATAATTCATGCTTTATTTTCATGGATTCTTGTGTGAGAGAGATTTGGGGGTCAAGATCTATATATTTTCCTGTTAGAACAGACTCTCATGGGGTCAACTTCTGCTGAGTCAATGCACTGTGGTATTTATAATGGCTATATACGAAGATAAGAAGATGGAGTCATGTTATTAAACAGGGCATGTGTTATTAAATAAAACACGTGCTGTCATTATTTGCAGAATCCCCTGAAACAAGCCACTGAGACATATCTTCCCTCACAGAATCAATCTTCCCTCCTAAAAGAGTAAAAAAGAGCTCTTTCATAGTCTACCTTCAACCCATCTCAGAAGTCAAGTTTCAGAGTGTCACTTGTAAAAATATTCATGCAAATGTAGATGAGCTAATGCTATCTTATTCCTTCAGGACACTTCTCAAATAACAATACAAGTAATATCTAGTATTCATGAGTCTCTATTACATGCCTATCCACATTAATTCTAAATTGTCATGGTACAAGGTATGTGTCATCATTCCTATCAGCAGGTGAATGGATGTAGCCCAGGTAGGTTGTGACTGCCAATGTTGCATGGTTAGTGGTAATAATGATAATAATAACAAAACAATAAAACCATAAAAACAAATATTGAAAAAATACCTACTACTGCATGCTGTGATAAATACTTTCCATGAATTAACTCATTTAATCTTTACAACAACTTAAAAAGGTATATCATATTACCATCTACCTTTATCAGATGAGGGATCTGAATCTCTTACTGTAATAGATGCCTATTAATTGTTTGTTTGATCTACAGTCATTTTCATTTTCTATGAACATTATCTGCTCAGGAGTGGACACTTGTCCTAGAAATGAACAATTGGAATATCTATCTCCAATAGTCTGAGCTGTTGGTTCAGGGATTAACAAATATCCAAAACTAGCTCATTGAGGTTTATCTCAGGGACTTTGGCTGGAATTAATGAGAAAGAAATGTTCTCTTGCATCACTAATTATCTTCCTAAATATGAGTTTAGAGTTTCCAGAAGAATATTTACCATGACTTAGGAAGGACCTTCTTGAGAAAAATCTAATATATAGGGGAGTAAAATAATGGGAGTGATGAAATAGAGGAGAGAAGGATAGAGAACATTTCAGAAGTCAGAATAAGTCCTACTTTTGTTGAATTTGTTTTGGATTGAATGTCTTTCACTTTCAAACAATGAAACATTGCATACAAAAGAAGAAAAAGAAAAGATATCATGAATGGTTTACATACTATAGAACTTAAATGATGATATTGGATCAATAGAGGAGCAATGAGAAGCAGAGATAATTTTGCCCATCCTTGACTGTAAAGCTAACCACGATTCCACAATTGCTATAAATTTTTTTCCTGAAATTTTCTTTTTCAGTACTTGGGATTGAATCCAGATTCTTATGTATGCTAGGAAAACTCTCTACCACTGAGCTACATCCCCAGCCCTCTTCTTATATCTTGATTCATACCATTTCCTGATGAAGACTGAATTTTAGATTTGTTAGAAAACATCAGGGTTCTAGAGAGTTTGTGATTTTCTTACAGCTTTTAGTAACCTTCTACAAATTTCAGACAAGAACTACTGGAAAGCTGAGGGAGAAGAAAATATAGTCTTGTTAAGAGAGACTCATTTGGTCAAAAGGAAGCAATTCAAGATGGCTGGAATTAAAAAGTATGTATCCTGTAAATGGTTGGAAACCTGAATTTTCTGCCCCTAGCCAGTCATTGAAAATGAAGACAGAGATGTAGGAGACTCAGTCTATTAACATCCTATTACTGCTGTAACCAATTACCACAAATTTAATGGCTTAAAAACAGGAAATATTTATTCTCATTCAGTTTTAGACTTCAGTTAGAAGTCTAAAATCAAGGTGTTGGCAGGGCTATATTTTATTGAGAAGATTCAAGGGAGAAAACACTGGAAAGACATTCCCCTGTGTTTCCAGCTTCAGGAGGCTGCCCTGATCTATAGGCTCATCATCTCTTCCTCATGTCACTTTAAAGTTCTTCTTCCAGGTCACATCTACTACTTCCTTGACCTTTCTGCCTCCTTTTTCACACCCACTTGTGACTCTATCCAATCCCCAAATCCAGGTTAATCTCCTCATCTCAAGATTCTTGATTTAATCACATCTAAAAAAGTCTCTTTTGCCACAGAAGGGAATGCTTCACAGGTTCTGGGAATTGGGATGTGGATATGTTTGAGAGTGGTCATCATTTAGCCTACTACATCTGCTAGAGGTACCCAGAAAAAGACTAGACCTCAGGTCGGCCCAAGTAACTCCAAATATGTACTTTCCTTGTGACCAAGAGTAATGGCTTACCTGTAGTATTGTTTAAATCTTTGAATCAAAACAAGTACGAAGCCAACTCTGGACTTAGGTATTATATGATCTGATAAATTCATAGAGTTTAAGATTCTTTGGGTTTGGACATGCAGCTTTCCAGATGAAGGTTAGGTTTTAGTTGGTGAAAGACATTACACAGATAATTGAACAATTGCTCTTTCATTATATCTGCAAAGAGTAGTCAGAAGGGAAAAAATAATGTGTGGCTGGAGTCTTGTTCAAGTCCTGGGGGTCAGAGAAGGGCTTGGCTGTGAGGAAGGGATGGCATTCTACACAGCCAGCAGTGTAGGCATAGGCTCTGGAATCATTTGCTACCATGTGGAGTCAAACAGGAAAAACAATTAATACCTCTAAAAATCGGGGGTGGGGGGGTGGTGGGGGGAGGTGCTGGTAGCAATGCTTTAACTAATCACCATTTTCGCCATGGGCAGACCATATTGGTGCTCTATCATTTTACCAGGATCACATAATACCAGCTGGAATGTAGAAATAATTCTGATTAGGAAAAGAGAAAACTTCAGGAAGAAAACTTGTAAAGGTCTTAAAAGAATGATTTGGGCTCCAGCAAACATAAATAAACTAGAGGATGAAAAGATAGAGACAAAGTGAATGCCTCTAAAATTGTGCAATTTTTGGTATTAGCAAGTTGGTAACATTTTTGTTTTTCTCTGAGGTCCCTTCTTGACCTCCTGAAAGCACACCATGAAATCTGCTGCCAAAATCATTTACAATAAAGTTATCCTGTTTACAGGTTTTCAATAAGCTGTTTTTATTCTTTGATAAATAAGAAACGATGCCATTGTGCCCTATAAAATAGCAGAGGTTTTACTTGAACAAAATCCATTTGGAAATGTTAAGCTGGTGACACAGAACTAATATGCCTCAAGGTGGTCATTCTCTCTGGATTAAAGCTGGGGAACAATTGTGGCTCCTGTTACCAGGAAAATTACAAAGGGCCATTATGGAAAGGGACAAAAATCTCTGTTCCCAGAGGGGGACTGACAAGCTGAAAGTCCCCCTCTACATGCCAACACAAAAGCCTGATTGCCTCAGATTGTTTGTTTATGTAAATCAAAGGGTGACATTAATTCTGCAAGTGGGACTGCTGAGCAACAAAGGATGTGGTGATTGGCTAGATGGTTGCTTACGGGCTCCTGGCAAATCTGGAAAATCCTATTGCATTTATTCTGAACTCTGTCTGGACACCTTTAGGAAAAGAATCTCATCATTATGTACCAAAGTGAATAATTTGTATTTTTAGAGTCAGAGTTGAAACTGTAGGATTTGAAGGCAAAGAGAGGATTTTCTCAGTTTCTCCAAAGCTCTTTCCAAATTGGATTCCAGGATACATCATGACAGATGTTCCTGGGACGTTCAGTGGGGCTGAGTGTAATGGGGATAGTCTTCCCGAAACTGTTCAGCAACCTACCACTAAAATCAATGAGGATGCGACTGATATGGACCGGACCCCACCAGACTACAGGGTTGAACCAGGTCCTGAAGATGTGCCCACAAAAGGAAATCAGGAAGAAAGAGGAAAATCACAAGGGAACATTCTACTCAACTGTTCTATGGATGAGAAGATTCTAAAAGGTAAACTATTTCCCTTTTCCCTCACTTTAGTAGTTTTGCTTATAGGCTCACTCAGGTGTTTGTTTTTTTTTTTTTTTAATAAACTGCTATTATAGGAATGAGGAAGAACTGTAGTTCCCTATTCTACTAGGGCTGCATGACATAATAACTGAACCTCTACCTCTGGTAAATTCAGGCTTGTGTATTTGATAGCTCTATGATCCTGGGCAATTTTCTTTGTCTTCTTTGTGCCTGTTTTTTTTTTTTTTTTCACTAGAAGAAAGCAGAAGAATCTTTACTACATTTGTGGGATAGTGGCAAGAAATGTTAGTTAAATGTTAACTACTGTGATTTAATATTATTACTGAACAAAGAGAATTCAGAATTTTGAAATCTCCTGCCATACATAACTAAAGAGGTCTGCATTCATGATTCTATCTTATATAAGCATAAAGGGAGAGAATATCAGTAAAGAAATTAATTGCTATATAAATAAATGAAATCAGTTAAAAATCAGAAGTTAAATGGTAAGTTTTAATAATCATGATTCAAAATTTAAAAATCTACCTAGAGTCTAAATTTACATCCCTTGAGCGCTCTCTCTCTCTCTCTCTCTCTCTCTCTCTCTCTCTATATATATATATATATATATATATATATATATATATATATATATATAATGTTATAATACTTGTATTTCCCCCCACAGAAAACCCAGAAGATCACCTCTTTATTGTTCATAAGGCTATCACAGATCTGTCTCTCCAAGAAACAAGTGCTAAGGAAATGACATTCGGAGAAGGTAATGGGAACTAGAGTTTTCTACACAGAAATTGTTTGACTGGATATGATGACAGTTTTCACATGGGATGTTGTGTGAGTATAATGTTGAAAAAGCAATTGAGGCACTGACTTCACAATCTCAAGGCTGCAATAGGCAGATAAGAGAGTCTTGACTTATCTGTCGGTTCCACCTCAGGAATCATTCCAGATGACTCAAGACTCAAATTGCAGGGATTGGTACAACTGATTGGCATACCAATTCGATATCTGTGTCTTAATGTGTTAGCCCACTTAATCAACCTTTCTTTTTTAATTTGGTGTCTCCAAATCTTTGCCAGGCACCTTGTGAAATGTAAATGTTTCAAAAATAGGTTTACCCTAAAAGACAATTATTGACAGACAGTTTAAAAGTAACTTTGTAAATTGATTTGCTCTATAGGAAAATTCTAGGCCTCTGATATAAGTACAAAATGGTGAACTGTTTCTTGTCAAAGAAAGCCCTTATTGTGATGAAGTTAATTTTAATTTTGTTCTTTAAGTAAATGGGGAAATAAAGAGAACATTGGAGTGACAAATATTTAATTTTTAGTAAACTGAATAGGCCACAAGACACTAAATCCTTTAGACATTACTTCTAAGAAGACACATACATTCAAGCGGCTTTCAAATAAAGTACCCAATAAAATCTATTAATCATTTCTCCTCTCCTACCCCTATAAACATCTTATCTAGAAATGTAAACCAGTTTGTTAGACATAACTAATTTAGCTTTGAACCTTAACAGGGAAAATATTGAAAAGACTACTGGTTGAAATATTAGAACTTCACATAAAATAGCAAATATTCAGGCAGACTGGAGGTGTTTGGCAATTTCTTGGACTTCTTCTCTTTGCTGGACAACTCTCAAACTGTCTGCTGACCAATACATAGATACATGAGGGAAAAGGTAGCAAATAATAGTTATTGTCAAGCTAATACTTTATCAGAGATAACTTGTAAAACTTAAGGTCCCACAAAATGAACTCAATACATTCTTTGCTGAAGTCTTTTTTCTTCTAATGGAATAAGCCTTTGGAGGTAGGGATCTAGAGCCACCTTCAAATTTCTATTCTGGAGACCCACTATAGTCGACAGTTTTTTAGGATCTTCCAATTTGATTAAATGGAGAATGAAAGCAGACTCTATTTAATGCTATATGGTCTTATCACTGAATTTGTCCCTGAATGAGTCCTTTCTTGTCTGATGAAACATGGACTGTGTGCTTTTTTCCCTCTATGACAGAGGCAGAGGTTTGGTGTCTTTTATTTTCGCTATGGCAAAAAGCTTAAAAAAAAAAAATCTTGAAAGGCAATGCTCCTGGATAAAAATGCTAAAAATATTGGGGAAAAACTATAACATAAATTCAAGTAATTTCATTGGTGATAATCCATGCCTGAGTCCTGAATATGAATAAAAATGTCAGTTTCTTTGGTTCTTCTGGAAAAACAAACAAAGCTTGATATTAGAGCAAACATTCTAATGTATACTTATATGTAATGTAAAGAATATTGACTGGATGCCAATGAACTGATTGCAGCTGTATACTTAATGTGGAATGACAACCCACTTTTTCTCTGTAAGATTATAGTCTTGATTCCTACAGTAAAAAATAAAATAAAATAAAAAAATGAAAGGAAACTAAAAACTTTGGATGAAAGGGACTTATGAACAACCTTCAGGGAGAATTGTAGAGGGAAAGAACAAAGAGAACAAAATTGCCTCTCACCTTACTTAGATATAGGATCTAATGGTGTTGGAAGGTGATGGTGAGCCCAGACCCAGCAAGGGACCCAACTCAGACCTTTCTGATTCTTGTACACTACAGACTGAAGCTTCCTACAGAAGCTGTTCAGGGGCAAAGCTAAAAAAAGAACCTCTCCTTTCTTATAATTAATTCTTATCATGTTCCATAAATATCATTGAAGGTATACTGACATGATCTAGGTGTTTGAAAAATGGCAATTTCAGTGCATTTAAGCCTTTTAAATGTTACTTCATAGTAACAAGTAACTTGTGTCAATTGCTTGTCATTTGGAACATGCCTAAAATACAGGCTAATCTGGCATTATGTAACAATGACCTCTGCATGATTTCAAAATCTGGGCAGGTCTCAGACTGTTTTTTTTGTTTTGTGGCTTTGGTGGGCTTGGTGCCTAAGTTGCCAGCCGTGTGTGCTGACCACATGAGGGTCTTTGCTCTTCCTTCCATACCTGACTACCTTAGCGCAACTCTGAGAAAGAGAGCATCGAATGTCAAGTTTGTTACTGTGAGTGTGACTATAGGCAGTCATTATTATTATTTTTTAAATTTTCCTTTAGGGCTGTGTTTGTGTATGTGTGAAATAGGTCCAAACATTCTATTGTATATATTATATTTCCAGCTTGACAGGTTAGAGTATATTTAAGTGTTTCTCAGGGGATATCAGTCTCACTAAATACAGTGGTACACAAAATAGAATTCCATAGTCAAACGAGGTTGGGTTGCAGCCTTTCCTGGAGATTTACAATGTTCATTAACATTTTAAAGGCTCGGATAAATTCCAAAGAAGCTTATTTAACTGTATTGAATGCAGTTATTTTCCAAACTAATTTGACCATGAAGCATGTTTGATTGTGTAGAACATATGAGTAGCCCAGAGTTATATCCCATAAAACACACATTGGAAACTGATTGTCCAGAAAAATAATTTAGAGAATAACAAAGTAACATCTCAGTATGTTGGAACCTCTGAACATCTCAACTACCTATTGATTTTGCTACAGGGCATCAGTGGGAGAAGATTCCTCTGAGCAGCAGTAACCAAGAAATAAATAGTCCAAAAGAAAGAATTGCCAAACAACCTCTAGAAGAGAGAGAAAACGAGGATAGGAAGAACAAAGCTCACCAGGCAGCAGAAATTGAATGGTTGGGATTTCGCAAACCTAGCGAAGTTGACATGCTGCATTCTCAACATGGTGAGCAGGAAGAGGTTTGGAATGAAGAAGCTCCTGAGGATAATGATGATGATTACAATGATGATGAAGATGAAGTTCGAGTGATAGAATTCAAGAAAAAATATGAAGAAGGTTCTCAATTTAAAGAAGAAATGGAGGCAAGTGAGGACTCCCCACTGAGCAGCCCCGGCTCCCAACCTGTGACACCCGATGAGCAGCCAACGTTAGGAAAGAAGGGAGATATCTCCAGAAATGCTTATTCAAGATACAATACAATATCCTATCGGAAAATAAGGAAGGGGAACACCAAGCAAAGAATTGATGAATTCGAGTCTATGATGCATTTATGAACTAACTGGAACTGAGAATTTCTCACACTCACTAAAGAAAAAGCTAATTTCATTTGTCCTGAGTGGAATGTTTCTATGCCTTGAGTTATCCCCTGCCCCCCTTGAAACACAGGCAAGCTTATTGTCTTTTTTGCTGTAGAATGATATGGAAATAACCTTAGACAAAACTCAGTCTGGTAATCTCAAATCAAAAAGGTTTAGATTCATTCTTGAGCACTTGCTATTTAAAACTTTACTAATATAGCATTATGTGACCAGCATTAAAGAGCCAGACCCACTGGGGACTCTAGCGTGATTTGGCTTTAAAAGTGGCAAAGCTGGAAAAGGTAGCCATCAAATCAAAGAGATAACTATTTGAAATGACTCCTGTATTTCTTCTGGTGTCTTTCTTTCTCTAAGTCCTCTTCCTTTTAAGCATGGTTTTTATAGACTCTGGTAATAAACTTTCAAAAATTCTTTGCCTTATTACCCTAAAAGAAAACATTTTGAGTGGTTTTCCTTGGCATCTAGTGAGTGATAATTCTATGGGCCACCTTCCTAGTGTCACCATTCACTGAATTTTCTCACTAAGAGGCAGAGCAATTTCAGGAGAATTCTGTTTGTTAAATGTTAGCTTTATGCTTTCAAACTGAATTAAACCCATTGTGAGGGTTGATACAGGGAGGGGCTAGAAGATTGTGGGCAATAGACTAAGGAGTTATATTGGATAGTTGTATTTTTGTGACTGAAAACAAAATCTTGTCTAGCACAATTAAAGTCATAAAAAAGAAAAATGATGATTTTAGCACAGTTTTCGGAGAATGTCCCTCTCTATTATCATGCTTTCTCTTATTAAGAGTATCTCAGAATAATTTTATTTTCCTTAGAAACTTGAGACAATGCTAGTCACAACTGTACTAGTTACTATGAAAATGGAAATAATTATCTTAGAATATTTTTAAAGTAGGGTGTGAGCATATATTTTTAGTGAGAAAGTTCTGATAGTTGTTGGGAATATGTAATTCACTGAACCTTAGCCCAAATCAAAAAAACTTAAAATTATACTTGTGGAGCTTCACTCAAATCAATGCATCAAATAATGTATTGAATATTTATGAAAAGAGAGTCTATATTTATATTCTTACTTAAGTTTGTTCCACAATGTTTCATTTCATGTTTCCATATATATTACCCTGAACTTTCTGTTGCCACAGTTAAAAATATCTTTTGGCTCCACAAATAAAAAGACAATTACTTATTGTCTGAGTGTAATACAGTTTTCATTGTACTATTCAGCCCTTTGTTTATTTCTTTTTCACTTTGTGAAAAAGCCTGAGTTATTCCTTCTAGATTATTGCTTATTTATGTGTAACAAATCCCACATGTCTCAACGGCAGCTTCTTTAATTCTTCCTGGTTATATAATATTTTTTTCCACTAAATACTTCCATTTAGTGTTTGCAAGACTCAATGTTATTCAGGATTAAGGTGCTCCTTTTATTCTATTTCACAGTTACTACAGAACCTGCAGATTTCATCTGAGACAACATGAGGGAAGTCAGATCTTTATTGATAATGTTAGGTAGGAGATGGGTGCACTAGGACAATTTTCTATTTAATTTAGATCCTTTAAATTATTTCACCTAGAAACTATTTTCTTTCCCCTATGATTTTCTACTTTACTTCAAAGTACAGTATTGTGTTTTCCATCATGGAACAGGACCGTATTGTTAGTCCACCTTAGCCTGCATTTTGAGTTATTCTAAATGAGGTGATGAATTCCTGTGAAACTTGAAGGAGATGGGTGGTCTATGGGTAGGTGACATGGCAAAGCAACTGGCTCTTAGGTGGCTGCAGTATATAGAGTTTTGGTCTTTTTAGCTGTGTATTCTTACCAGACAATTAACCAATTGTGAAATATTTTGTCAACAAAGACTATGTTAGGGCATGTTCAATTGGTAAATGCTTCAAGTTCATGGATGGGGCAAAGTGGTTACAAGAGAGCACTGACACTCGTCTTCAGCATTGGCACGTGTTGCCTTAATGCCGTCACAGAGTTAAGCTACCTGGAGAAATTTGACAGGAATTTAAGTCTTCGTAGCTTAGCAAAGACAAGGTCCTGTTTCAGATTATGTGAGGGATACTCAACATATTTGAAAGGCACATGGGACATGATTAAGGACACACTTTGGTAACTACACATGAGGTTTACCTGAGTCATTGTGATTCCAGGTTCAGTTGGAACTCTGGTATCTGATAGAAAAGAAAATTGGTTTATTGTGCAAATGCTGATATTTCTTGCATGACCTTTTGTTGTCATCTGATTAGAAATTAATAATAGCTTTATTTGTCTATAAATATATTGTTATGGTGAAGACACAGAATTTGTAGAACCTATCTCTCTATATTAACATTTAAATAAAGAACTGCTGTGTCTGGCTTGCTGTGAATAAAAGTTTGTGTCTTTGCTTCTGGTTTCTAGACTTTCTTTGGCCACCTTTTAAATTTTAGTAAAAAACTTCCATATTAGCAGCTACTAAGAATATCAATAATTGCCTTTTCAAAAATCAAGAGAATACCTCATTTCAATTCGTTTGCATTGTTTATTTCAAAAAGGTTTTTAAATGATTACATATGAAATTATAAAAACTTTCTGGGAGATATATAATATACAGGAAAAAAATTCTATTACTTTGAAAGAAACTGAGATATTGTTTTAGTTGCAATATTAACACCAACAATTTGAAAAAAATACATATTTATCTTTGTAATTGTCAAGGTAATACATTTAAACTATGCTGGTACTTTTATAGTAATTGTTTCCACATATTTACATGGGGATAGTACTTTTGGCACATTTTCAAATGGAGAACAGACATTTAAGTTTTTCAAAGTGATAAGGAAAACATTTAAAATAAGTAATAATAGAGAATTATGGAAAAGGATGAAACACCGGGGTATCATAAAGAAGAAATATGTTTGACCATATGAGAAAGGCAACCACTTCTCTTAAAGTCTGAACTTTCATTGCTCTATAAAAACAAGAGGGCTATAAAAAGTAATGTCAAAGTTATATTTGCCAATATTAAAATATCAAACTGTAGCATAACACCATAAATATGAGGACCCAAATCTTTACACAGCTCATGAAGAACACGAGATGACTGGGCCATACTGTCTACACAGACACAGTGACACGGGGCGGGGGGGTGGGGTGGGGGGGCGGAGTAATGGGCAACAGAAATCATCTAGAGACATGGCAAAGTACAAAACACACTGGTGACATCTAGAAACTAGCTACCAGCTCAGGGAAATTTTAGACATAAATTTAGAAAGCTATTTGTTTTTCCTAGAAATTAAAAATTATCTATCCACCTCCTTTATAATGACTTTGGTTGATCATAGGCAAAAATGTGGTACATAAAGATGTCCAAATTGACTCCAAACTCCTTTATGCTCTATAGCTTCAATCGTGTTCTCTCACTAAGGAATGTTTTCAGGGTATCAATAACAAAATTATTCAATACTCTTCTTTGTCTTGTTTTAAGCCCACTTCCTGTGGACTAATATGTATAAAACTAGTGAAATTTGAGCAGTGTTTGAAGGAGAAGAATGAGATCATTGTGCACAATCATGAACAGAAGAACAAGCACCCTGATAATTTAGAGTTTGATTACTCCTTCAAGTCTGCAAAACAGTATCTAGAGTGAAAGTTCACTTGTTATTGAAACTGTTATATAGAAGGTTAGATTAGACAAAGCCATGTAACTAAGAGAATTAAAATTATTCAGTGACATTTAATTTCCTTCATGTTGCAAGTGGAAACTCTGGGTTTTACTTTCTCCCAATCTATAGCATCAAATACACACATACACACGCACGTGCCTTTACACAAATTGATGTTTTTGAATGGTCAGGAAAAGATTAAAATCTTCATTCATGTTATCAAAACTTTTAATTTCAATATGTAATTTAAAGGCTTTTATTTATGGAGAGATAGATCTGTAACTAACATCTTTAAACTCACAATTATCAATTAACAATAAAATAGAAAACCTTTATTTAAAAATATTTATTACTTATTTGATGGCAGTTATCATTATTAGGATCTCAGCATATTCTAAATTATTCTAAATTACCCTATATGATTTAAAATGAGAATTTTCACTAGTGTTTTGTTTATGTGTTTTATAAAGCAAAGGCTTACATAAATTGGCAAAGGGATCTGAATTAAAATGGTGGCTATAAGTTGACCTACTGCTTTGACAATAGAGGCATTAAGTTCATTGTATCTGATGGTATTCCCTCTGCTCTTTCTCTTAGATACAGGTACCAGCAACTGTAATCCATTAAGCTTCATGGCAGAATATAATACTTTATATGGCTTATTCAAACCTGAATGGAACAGGTATTTATAAAAAAATAAATATTTTTTACAACAGCCTTGGTTAAGATTTCTTTTTTCATTTCAAAGCATTTGGACTTGTAGCAATCATTGAACAACCTATGTTAACACTGGTTGCAAAAGCACTTTAGTGACAATCTACACAATGAATGGAAGTTAAGAATCATGGTTTCTATTTTAAATTGAAAGTCTTCAATTTTTTATTTTCTACTTCTATTCAAATTGAGCAACTTGTCAGCTTTGCTTAAAGATTTGGGGAAGAAAGATTTGGGGTTTACAGGGAAACAAACCTGTACATGTCTATCATATTTGATACAGAAAGTAGAAAAGAACAGGTCTTGCATAAAGTCATGTATATAGATCATTGCAAGACATAAGGGAGTTGACACACTTATACTTAATGCACAGAGAGATACACAGCTTCTATTTCTTCTCTATCCAATCACAGAGGTTTGACTCCATCTTATTTCATTATCTGTGATACCAATAACTGCAACCCAACTGCAGTGCCTAGTGTGTAGAAGTGCTCAACAATAATAGCTCCTCTCTTTTCCTGTCCCCTCTTATAATATCTTCATTTTTTATCCAAGATATTGGACTCTTCATCTGAGCTATCATTTATTTCCTGTATTCTGAATCCAGAAGTTAAATTAGAAATGTTTGAACCAAAAACAAGTCTCAACTTCATTCTCTTGCAGAAGAGCTCCTCAAAAATCATTCTAAGGCATTCATGACATAAGAGTTGGCTGGAAATACTGAATTCCTGTGACTGGTATCCTTGTTCCTCTATAGTTCCTAAGACAATGGCAGAGCAAGGTATTTGAGTATCTAAGAGAGTGTTTCCAAATTAGTGTGGTGAAGCTACAGATACATTGTGATCATGGCCCATCAGAGTCTGCAGCCCTGTGGATGATAGCCAATTAAATGTCAGAAAGCAGAACTGAGCAAATTTGGTACTGGTCATAAAACATTGTTATAACAACTGACAGGCACAAAAGCACTTTGAGAGTTTGGTAAATTAGCTTTTTGGCCACATAAATTCTGCCAAATATTATCAAGGCTATCCTATGTTCAAGTTAACAAGATAACAAGATGCATAGACATTTTTCTGTTGAAAAGGCAATAACTAAGGCAATCCAAGTACAACTGAAGCCCCCAATAACACAACTTCCTATTGAAGAATTCAGGGCTGATTTGGACCCCAAAATGCCCCTTCCCAGGGTTTAGCATGAGAAGTACCAGAAGAGTATAATTGGTTTGGTCAGCAATTCAATTAATCCTTTGCCTAATTGAACTGACTTGTGTTTCTCATTCATATAGCTGTTTTTGAAAAGACTATCTCATTTTCTATTTATTCTCTTATCTGCAATCATCAGTTATTTGAATAAAACATCTTACATTGTTATAAATGTGCAAAAATATTTCCCCTTCCCATCCTTACAGTTTTGCTTTTGCATACTCAGTTGGATGTTGAAATTGTATTACATAGACAGTCAGAACTAAAATTGTCCAGTTTTAACATTAACTCAACTGAACAAATATTTCAAATATTTTTAAAATCTTTTAAAAAAAATATTAACAAGAATAAGCATGGCTATCCTAGGACCCAACAAAGAGGTTGCATATCTTTTTCTAAGGTCTGTCATAGGACAAATTTGTTCAGATCAGTGGCCTAAAATGAAAGAATGGTCCCTGAATCTGAAGAGCTGAATTCTCATCTTGATTCTCCAGTTAATTGGCCTGTGATTTTTATTTTTATTTGTTTTACTTTGTTGGTACTGAGCATGGCCTCAGTAACCAGGGGGCCTCTACAATTAAGCTACATTCTTAGACCTTCTTATTTTTTTTTATTTTGAGATAGAGTCTTACTAAATTGCCCAGGCTAGCCTTGAACTTGTAATCTTCCTGTCTCAGCTTCCCAAGTAGTTGGGATTATAGACATGCAACACTATGCCCCGCTTGGCCTGTGAGTTTTAGACAAGTAAATTATCTTCAGGTATTAATTTTCCTACCAAAATTGTAAATAATATGATTTTTAAGATTTCTCTTAGTATGCATAAGTACTGGTATATTTATGATGAGAATTTTATTTTGATCAAAAAATAGTTAATTTTCCCCCAAATTTCTAATGGTTATCATTGGGTCCACATTGAGAGCTTCGCTGTTTTCCTCAGGGAGAAAAACTCCAGGACAATTTTTTCTTAATTCTCTTCCTAAGAGTTGTTTACCTCATTTCTTTCCTTTTTCATTATGTTTTCTTAACTTTATTTCTACTTTGAAGTCTCTTAGAGTATATTTTTTTAAACATACTTCATCCCACTAATGTTGTTAAATCTAAAATAGCATCTGATTATTTTCATATAAAATTAATATTTTTCAGTGCAGTATTTCTGCTTTGTTTCAACTCTTCTCACTTTTCCCCAAATTAGAGTATCTTCAGCAACCAAATATATTTTTGGTTACTACTATTTTTCTTTGCTTTTTAAAAATTAATATCCACAAAAATCCAGGAAGTTACTGGTATGACCAATTATTTAAAAGTGCAGTTTTAAAAGCACAAAATGAGCTGAAACAATTTCTACATTTAGAATTAAATATTTTTATAAAGACCCCTTTTTTCTTACTTAAAAGTTTTTCTATGACTCAGACTGAGAATAAAAGACTATGCAATAATCTAGATCACAACCCAGCTATTAGGTGGGGTCATCAATAGTTGATCAGTACTGTTTTAAATTGCTAGGTAAAAATGAATGTATAGAAATTTCAACAGAATTGTAACTCTATGTGCATCTGATATTTTTCTAGCCATAAGAACTCATGCAGTTTATGTTTGATGAAAAAATAAAGGACCAGGTTCTCTGTGGGTTTAAAGACAGTCATTGTGAATATCATTGTGCTCCCCCATGTCTGTTACCATTTCTGGTTACCTGTGGGATGACACCAGGGAAACCTGCAGAATGAGTTCCTGCATAGGGCAGGAAGTAGGCGATACCAAAGGCCACCCTGGGCTGAAGGACTCCAGTCCACCAGGACTCCAGACCACCCAAATGGTGGACCGTTTCCCTGAGTTATCTTTTGGTACTCTAAATATTGTGATTTTAAAAAAATCTTCCATTCCATTGAAAATTTAAACTACCACTGAAAAATAGAGTCACTGAGTTCACTGTTACTTTCACAGTTATCTAATGGGTTGACCAGGCAAAACCTCAGTTCCTCTTCATTCTTCAAGGTACTTTTCAAATTTCCACTTTTGATGTGGTTTGGTTGGGTCACAAGCAGCTACTTTAAGCATCTTCTGTGGAAAATTTCCTTCCAAGCACAACAACTGATGATAGTTTTCAAAAACAATGTGATTTACCTGGAAAGAAAGAAGATCTGGGAATGAGCCACAGACTGAACTTGACAATAAAGATATATATATATCCCTAATATGTCTCCAAAGAGATGAGCAACTATATTTTTGATTTCTAAGGAATTCTCCTAAACTAAATTAATAACATAAACATGGGTTTGGAAGTATTAGTTTGTTTTGTGTCTCAAACTAAGTTTTATTTTATCCAAGCTGTGAGATTATTCATTTTGGGGTAGCAAAAGATAAATTTTCTAATGATATGGCTGATAACTGTAGGATTTAGAGCATAACAAAATCCAGATGTCACTGGGCACCCCTGTAATCCCAGTGGCTTGGGAAGCTGAGGCAGGAAAACAGTGAATTCAAAGCCAGCCTCAGCAAAAGCAAGGCACTAAGCAACTCAGTGAGATCCTGTCTCTAAATAAAATACAAAATAGGGCTGGGGATGTAGCTCAGTGGTCGAGTACCCCTGAGTTCAATCCCCGGTTACCCACCCCCCCAATCCATGTCATTTAATGTATTTGACAGATGATGAATACCTCATTGGTGTTGGTAAAAAAAAAAAAAAAAAAAAAGCCATGACAGAGAATGAGTTCATTAATTTCTTAATTAAATTCAAGTTTAATATATATATATGTATATATATATATAATATCTGTATTACAGAATGCCAGAAATGATGTATTTTATTTATGATCTCCTAACCATAATTTTTGATAGTACATAGTGCCTGATGTCTAGAATCCACTGCAGTATTTTAAAAGTATGAAGCTTGAAAATGCTCAAGGTTTGTAAAACAGTCGGCCTTGAAGAAAATCATTATGGATTGTTTACAGCATTCATCCAGTAACTAAGTCACTTGTTCCCAGCCTAAAGTCACTCTATAGAAACCAGTGGTGGAAAAGCACTCTATGCCCAAGTCTTCCACTTATGACACTAATTCTTTTAGGATGGTTGAAATCCAGAGCATTTGAGGAGGGCTGACCTGGAAAGCACCTTTTAAATGTAGATTCAGACATATCTAATTTTAATAATCCATTGTTGTCTGGTGTCAGACTTAACTACTACACTTCCTTCCTCCATTAGGAGGTGCTGGAATCTTTGAGAGGTGGGGCCCAGTGGAGCTCCATAAATTATTCTGGGCATGTCCCCCAAGAGGACTATGGGATCCTGGCCTCTTCCTTTTTTTTTTTTTTTTTGCTCCACCACACACTCCTGCTACTGTGTGTAGCCCTGCCACACTGGCCCACAGCAACAACAAGGTTGACTGATCATGGACTATCATCTCCAAAAATGGGAGCAACATAAACCTTTCTCTTTATAATTTGATTGTCTAAGCAATTTTGCTATACTGGTGAACGGCTGGCTAACACAGGGACTTAGGAGGTATAATATGAAAACTACCAAAAAAACTGAAAAAAGAAGAAAGACCATGACCAGATATTGATTTCCATGAACATCTAGTAACATCAAAAAGGACACAAGACAGCAAGCAGCTATGTAGAATGAAACAAAGTCACAGGTACAAACAAGTTTGAGGGCAGTTTTCTAGGCGTTTTTGTTTGTTTGTACCAGGAATTGAAACCTGGGGGGATTTTACCACTATGTTACATTTCCCAACCTTTTTAAAAATATATATATTTACTTTGAGACAGTGTCTCACTAAGTTGGTTAGAGTCTTGCTAAATTGTAGAGGCTGACTTTGAACTTGTGATCCTCTGGCCTCAGTCTGCTGAGTCACTGGGATTATGAGCTTTCTAGTTTTTGGTATCTTAATTAAATTATCTTCTTTACCAAATCAACTGTTTAGGAAACCCTACCACTAAATACGTTCTTACAGAAATCTATTCCAACATTCAATTCTGGAGATGAAATATGTATTGTGCTTCTTATTGTCTTACTCTTTCCTTCTCTTTCTCTACCTTCCTTATTTTCTTCCTCCCTCCTTTAGCACAGGGTTAAAGAAGGAGAAGGTAAAGTATAATTTATTCAGTAGATATTTTTGGATTTCTTAAACTGTATACAAGACAAAATTAGCAGCTTATACACTAACAATTCCTATTTTTTTCTGAAAAAATTGATAATAATAATTATCATTAAAGAGAAAAATGTTCAGGAGGGATTAATATATAGTAGAAAACACTTTGGGGGCAGCTCTGGGAAGAATAATAATTTTCATGTAACCAATGCATACAGTGGATTTGGTGACTATCGGCAAGTGAAATGGTAGAAAATTTGAGAAGGCAGTCCTGAGATTATTCCTGCTATTTCAAGATCCTACATGACTTTGTATCCTGTTAAAATACAATTGGGAAAAACTGAGAAGACTTTGGGAATGAATACAGTAGAACAGGCACATTTTGATACATATTAACATTTAGACCTCTTGAACAATATTCCCTGATCCAGTAGCATCTATCTGCTAATTTCTATGGTGTAAAGACTGTCTTCACGGCTGTTTTCAAGCTATCAGTGTGATATCACAGAGCACAGAGTTGGTAAAAGATGCACACACTGGACTTCTATAGCAGGGTGAGAGCTGGTTCCAGCACTCCTCTGAGGGCCCAGGTCTCTGGGAACCACAGGGGCTGAGAAAACATCTCCTTGTATGGAAAGAGGGCAGGACAAGTAACTAGAATCATTCTGAAGAGCAGGATATACAATAAGCACATAGCTTCTTGCTTTTTCCTTATACTCTCCTTGTATGCTTTTCTGACAACCAATGTTTGGGTTATAGCCCTTATTTTTGGCATTGCTGACAGAATGAAGCAAATTTCTTATAGAAAGATGTAGCAATATAACCAAGAACCCAGGGACTTTTATTTAAAAATTATTCATTTAAAATAAATATTGAAAAAGAAAAAAAAGACAATAATTTACAAAAAATATCTGTTTCTTTCTCTGAGTAGAATGGTGATCAATATCTGTCTCCACTGACACAAACACATTTAAAGCTTCCAAATGAGGATACTGACAATGAGGGTTTTATGACCCATTGATTGAAAGTTAAATTTCTGGCAAAGAAGAGGTACATATATTTTGCTTACCAGTTCTGGATGAAAGACGGAGGTGGATTTATGCAGCCATTTTAGCCCTTTGTTTTTGTTATCACAGGGGTGCAGCGTTAGGGATCCCTCTTCAGGGATGGGGGCCAAACACCATCCTTTTTGTTTAATTAGTCTTAACCAGGTGTAATTAAATTGTTGAAGCTGGAGAGGAAATGAATATAGAGAAGGTCACTTCAGGCAGCTAACATAGGCAGTGGTTTTTCAAACATTTTTGTTAGTAATAGCTAAGAATATAGGCAATCTGATCTGATGATTTACATTCAAATCCCAGTGCTACCACTTTCAATTCTGATAGTATGGGCACATTGTTTACCCAGTCTAATCTCATTTTTGTAACTTTTTATCTTGGATAGCAAATGCATCTATGCCAAAGGGTTAGAGTAATGACCATTGAGTTTCTAGCATACAATAAGTCTGCAATAAATGTTAATTATAACTTAAAAACTGATGAGTACAATTAGTACCTATCCACATATGAATGTTGTTTCAGGTGTTCTGAATCCCAGACAATGCTAGGTCTTGAAGAGTGATTAAGTTTCTAAGCCATAGGTTGTTTGAGAGAGATCCTAGTCACAGCCTTCAGTTTCTTTGGTGGAAATTATTATGCTTTGCTGATTCAGACTATCTAGACAATTGGACTCTTAGAGGCTTCATTCTGCTGTAGGAAAGGTTTAGATCTTTCTCAGCTGATAGTACAAGAAAACATCAGGTTGCTGTTATGTTAGCATGCCCCAGTTCATATAAACTGCTCTCGGAGAAATATAGTTTTGGATAGTTGACATTGTCTAAAATAAATACTGATTCAGGCAATGAAACCATGTTTTCAGTCCTTAAAAACATTTTCTACAGTTGTTTAAAATCTAATATTATCTGCCTGGTCATTTTACTCTAAGGCTGTGGCTCTGTGGGAAATTTACTATTTGTACTAATCCAAAAATATTTGGAAAAAAATAAAACTTCTGGTAAAATCTATCTAATTGCTTTTGCCTAATAAATCATTCTCAGTGTAACTGAGATTTAATTCAGATTATCAGGTTAAATTAAAGCCAGTGTGTTGAATCTTATGACTTAATTTATATTCCCTAACATTAGCATCAGTTGGGAGTTAGTTGGAAATGATGAATCTCAGCCCCATCATGGACCCACTGAATCCAGATTTGAATGAATAAACTCCCCTCATAATTCCTGTGGACATTAAAATTGGGGAGAGTATGGAAAAATGACATCATCAAAGGAGGTTATATGAATACTAAGATAAGTATATTACCTAAAAAAAGGAACATCTTAACTGGTTTAGAAGTTAAAACTAAGGAGACTTTTTAGGTAAGGTAAAGGATAGGGTTAAATACCCCCATCTGAGGAATTTATTCCTTTTGAGCTCTTTTGGATGACTACTATAGTCATGGGCTTGGTATTCAGCTTTATTTTTTATGATAAAATATAACTTGCTCTATGTTCCTGACCCTTTTATTACTTTAGCAAACCATAAGAGGGAAAAGCTAAAAATGAACAACCAGATGAAAAGGAAGTTGGGGTTTATGGAAAGTGACATAATTAATACTTTGATCTCCTAGTTTGCCTTGGAGAGACTCAATATTTTCAAGAACAGAAGCTGGTAGTGGTAGAACACTTGTAAGGCATGCACAGGGCCTGGTTTAAATTCCCAGTAACCACAAAAGAACAGAAATTGGGGGTTCAGATGAAATAATGGTTACTCAAGCACAATAAATACAATAAGTACCTACAATGATGAGTCTTGAAGAAGTGCATTATTCAATATTCTTATATTATGTAGACTAATTGTAGTTTTTTTTTGTTTTACAATTTATGGTTTTGTTTTTCCTCCTCTAATTTTTAATAAGCAAAAGTTATTTCTTTCAACTGATTCTTTTTGACACTTTCCATTTCCCTCTGTCTTCTCTTTCCTAATTAAGAAACACTTCCCTTGGATTTGTATTTACAAATTATAAGTGAATTAGAGCAGCAGAGATACGTTTTCTTCTATTAAAAGCTTTGAATTAAGAGGTAGAGATGGGATGTACTTGAAAATGTAAGCAATGTCTCAAAGTCGAAGTAAAGAAGCAAGATTTAGTAAACCTAGACTATCACTGCAAAATATTTTTTTTCAGCAAAGAGTGATTTGCAAATTGGGGGGCTGATTTCTACTCATGAATCTGTTCCTGTGAGTCCTATTTGGCATCCAAACCAGATAACTACTCCCACAGAAGGTAGAACTGTGAGGGAACATATGTTGGAGAGGGAGGTGTGATCTCTCAGATCACCTCCAACACGGCAGGAGCCATCCCTGTTCTATTTCCCCTGGTCCTGCTCCCTCTCCTAAGCATTCTGCTCTGAGTTTGTGGGAGTTTGGCTGCAGGGTTTCCATCATGGATTGTAGATTGTGTGAAATCCATGATTCCCTTTAAATACTGGAATGATTACTTAAAATTATGTACGCTATTTTCTTTATTATTTTATCCTCATATGCTTTGTAATTTAAAAAAATATTTTTTGCTCTTATTATTGCTGAAGAATTAACAGAGCACTAGCATTAGTTACTGTATGTTTCCTGTGTGTTACCTAATTCAGTATCACCCCCAGAAGCAAGGACTATTTTCCCAAAAGTTAAAGAACACATGCAGGTGAACCCATTCTTGCAAGGAAAGGACCCAGGAGCCAGTCCGTGGACTTCAGTACCCACTACTTCACTTCCTCAGTCGCTGACTTTGCATTTAGAGGTGGACTATCTTACAAAGGCCTTAGGATTATAGAGAAATTTAGAGACTAGTTATGGATTTCTACTGGTTGAAGTTACATTTCTCAAGTTTGTAATGAGTATGTCAAACATGGTACCTATCCACTATCATGAGATAGAAACCCCCAGCGAGGCATACCTGGCTGCTCCCATCACAGTCTTCCAGGATGGCTGTGGTGTTTTCAATGGAAACACATTTACCCAAGGCCACGTTAATAAGCTAGGAAGAAATATATAAAATATGAATTAAGGAAAAATATTTCAAAGTAGAACACAGCATTCAGACATGTTTAGAAAACACGGAATATAAAACTATAATAAGGTTAAAAGATAGTTAAATTAATAGCTTAGTATTACTTAGCACTATATGATTTTATTGGTGGCTAGCTCTAACAGAGACATAATGTAATCTTGCTTCAATCTGTCAATTTAGGCCCGCAATTCAGTCACAGAGCCAGCAAACAGAAGCTTTTAATTAACCCTTTCTTGGAATGCCAAATGACAAATGAAGAAAAGGTGGCATGGAAAATAGTTATTTTCTTGTCTCGAGTTTATCTGATGCATATATTAAAAGTCAATGCACATACTTGAGATTTAATCAAATCAAAAGTCGTGGGCTATGTTCCTTGGCTGACCCTCCGAGCTATCTGGCTGCTTAGGCACTGAATCATCGATAAATTGAGTCCTTCAAAGAACAGCAGATTCCAGCTGATTCCCTGTCAGAATCTGCCTAATGACTCAAGCAAGCTACAATTCATTATAGGAAAAGTCACGAAAGCTAATATAGAGCCAAGCATAAAGGCACTTTCTGGCAGGCCCCCAGGTTTTTAATGGATTTGCAGGGTCAAATATGGAGGTAGCTTTCTATCAGTCACCATTTAATGCAGAAAAATGTTGGTTCCCTTACCCTCTTTGACATCCTGGGCAGAGCTAACGAGAAGGTAGGTTGATAATACAATTTAGGCCTTTCAGATTTCTGGAAGAGCAGCATAGATCTGAATCTATATTATAAGAAACACGAAAGCCTCCTGAGCTGGGAGGTGGTAAGGGCTTTGTTGCTGATGACACTGTTTTTGCACCCTCCTGTTTTATGGAGCTCCAACTCTGGTGCTGCATTGAAGCAGGTGGCATAGCTCATCCGGTTGCCAGACTTCCTAACTAGGGGCCCCCAGAGGTTGGTCCCACTTTTGCATGCCTAGATTAGCTTGCAGAAAAGAGTCCGCCTCAGGAAATTAAGAGTAAAATAAATGCAGGAGGGAACTGCAACCTTGGTGTGCCAGGAACATGCCCCCCTCATAAAGATATAAGAAAAACTTGGGCATGCATAAGCCCAGATTGGAATGAGGTCTTCCAGAGAAAGTTGGAAAACGAAGACTCTCAATGAGAATGGTGTACTAGGAAATACAATTTACCCATTGGTACTGAAATCTAAGTTCTCCCTGGAAATCTGAAACCATACACTGACCTTTGTTTTGTTTTGGAAGAGAATCTGCACCATTTTCTTTGGATAGGAAACCTTACATACTTTCAAGGCATAGAAACAAACATTAAAAAATAGTAACAGGTTGGTAACTTCTGAGGTGTCTGGGAAATAAAAACACAAATCAACTCCAGAGGATGAGTCTCCATCAAATATCCTCAAGGAAAGCTCTATTCATTATTTTAAAATGACCAGAATGGGGCTAGAAAATCCACCATTAGCAAATGAGAGCAGCCACAGCACACAGAAAGATCCAGCTAACTTCTGGAGGATGGTCAGTAGAAATATGTGAACGAAGAATAATCCTGGAGTTTAAAGAGGGCAAATCATGCCCAGGATCTGGGCAGAGATGTAAGAGCCTATATTTGTGGATCAGGAAGCAAATATTCCACATTCCAACCATTTTGGGAAACTGGTTCCAGCACAGCTGAACCTTCTCCAGAACTTCTCAGAACCTTCTAGGTGTTGGTACTCAGCTTCCTGCTCAGAATGTAATGAGTGCTCCTCAGATTTACTGGGCTGGGGAGCCTGTTCCAGCACAGATGTCACTTCTGGGAATGCTGTTTGAGAACCCCTGGCTTAACTGAGTCCTTTGTGTTTATTTCATACAATTCCTTCCTTCAGGCACAGAAAGGCAATGGAGGGAAAGGGAAATCTGCTCTGTGCCTATGTCTTGCTTCTTTTCTTTATCTGAAATTCTCTTTCTTTCCCTTCTAATCAGAAATTCCCGGGGAAACAATTTTTCTTCTTAAAGAAATGGCCTATGAAATGCTAAAGAATGGTTATTCTTCATTTCATTATGAAACGTTTTAATTTTTTTTTTTAAATTTTAAAGTAGTTTATCCAAAATCAGGTCGTGCATAGATTTTAAACTTTCCGTGTAGAATGATTTTATTTTCTAGTTCAGGAGGTGGGAATTCTCCAGTTTATTACAGAATTTTTAAACTTTAGGTTATAGGCAGTTTGCCACAATGTAATCCTGTGGAAAAACATAATGTTGGTGAGGTTCTTGTATTAGTTTCAGATATTTTTAGTTCAAAAAGAAATTATTTTTTTTTTCAAATCCAAAAGAAATTTCACTGGATTTAAATTCCCAAGTCTGTAGGTTAAAAGACAGGAAAACATGGAGTAAGTAACAAAAACATATGGTGGAGTTGACTTTTTTTTTTTAAGTTTTTAAGATTGTTTATCCCAAAGAAAGGTCAAGTTGATCTTATTTTGAATTTCCCGGAAAAAAGTCCTAATTTTTTTGTGGATAATGATAGTACTCCCTCCTGGTTTCTCCAGAAGGTAGCAAATATTGTCTTTATTAAAATTTATCTAAGAAAAACAACAAGCAAATAAGTAAATAGCAGGAAGAGCTCTGTTAAAATATTTTTTAGAATATTGCAGTATTTTATGGAATACATTCATCAGCAGAGGCAATTTCTTTAGGGGAGATTTTCAAAAATTTGGTAGGAATGCTTATAAAAGTTAGTGTCACAGCTGAGCCAAAAGATAGTTTTATAGCTCCCTCTGGTGGCTAAAGTTGAGTAATGATATTGCAGTGATTCTGTTAGGAAAAGAAAAATTCTCTATGGTGAGAATTCTAATTTTTTTTCCTGTTTTAAGTATTAAATTTAAAAATATAAATTTTATTGTATGTATATATTTGACATGTTATATTTTTGAGTTACCTAGGGTAAAATATCAGGTTGAGACACCCGAGGTAGCTGCTATTCTATTTTGACCTAAAAAAAGGAGACTTTAGAGTACAATATGTTATATATAAACCGGTTATATATATTTATTTATTAGTTGAATTTATAAATCAGAATGAATTTGCAAACTAGTTTCTGTCTTTAATATTCTTCCTGAAGTTTCCTAATATGGTTAATGGAATGTCTTAAGTTCTTGTTATCAGATTTGCCAGGTGGGGAGAGTGGTTGGTTTATAATAATCTACTTTCTGGCAAGAAATGGAAAAACATGGCCTGAAAGAGCGGGCTTACTCATGATTTAGTTTGAGAACTTCTTGAATGGGGAAAAAAAAGACACCCTGAAAGAACACTAAAAAATGCTGGAAATATTTATAAGTAAATAAGAAATAAAACAAAAGTGATTACAAATAAACCTGACACAGGAAAATCTCTATCTAGGTGGCAGTTTGACCAATCATCCTTATGCCCATTCTATGTTAGATGGCCCTATGTCCTACCATTCCCAGAACAGGTTTGAAATGGCTTCCTCCCAGGCTCTCTCCCCCCCCCCACTTGACCCTCTTAGTGTTGCACCCTGTTCAACCTATATGATTTTCTTTCCTTTTTGTACCTCTCCTTATGTCCTGAAATTTTGTTATTTTCTGATAGCTTCTGTTATTTTAAATCCCTTTTTGAAACTTAAAAAAAAATCCCAATTAAATTTTATCTCTTTGTTTAACTCTGCTCAACAAATTCCTGTTATATTTTTGGAGAGATAGAAATAGAGAAATAGGGATAGAGCTGAAGATAAGGAGGGAAGGAAAGGAAATCCTAACTCTCCCTGCAAGGACCTGTGTGATATAATTTCTCTGCACCTTCCTCTGGTACCATTCCCTCCTTCACACCCTGACAACAACAGTCTTTTCTCCAGTTCTCAAGTGCCCTCAGTTTTCACCTGCCTTAGAGTTTTGCATGAGCGGCACCCTCTTCCTAGCCCTCTTTTTTAGATCTTGGTTGATGCTTTGTGTTTCAGGCCTTGGTTTCAAATTCTTTTCCTCAGAAAGGATTTCTTGGCCACAGTAACTTAGAATTCATCACCTATACCCTAAATGAGAGTTATGTTTTGTGTTGAAAAAAGATAATACTGTTTATTATCTTTTTTCCTATTCAACATTTCAACTTTATGGGTTTTATTTGAGGTAGGGAGTACTGGAAATAGAATTCAGGGCACTCACCCACTGATTCTCATCCCCAGCCCTGTTTTGTATTTTATTTAGAGACAGGGGCTCACCGAGTTGCTTAGCACCTCTCTTTTGCTGAGGCTGGCTTTGAACTCGAGATCCTCCCGCCTCAGCCTCCAGAGCCACTGGGATTAGAGGTGTGTGCCACGCGCCTGGCTCAACTTTCAGTTTTAAAGGAAGGAATGGAGTCTACTTTGTTTATCATCCAGTTCTAAAATGCTGCCTGGTCTCCTGACACATAACAGGAATCTGTTGAATCAATCAATGCATATGGCTTCCTTCCTCAAGTTTAGCCACGTTTAATTCTCAGCTATGTCTTGTCTTATGGCAATTCATAGTGTGTGTTTATTTATAGTGTAACACGATAAATCATTCTTTCCCACGCATTTTTGAAGCATTTTTTGTACCACTTTTGCAGAGTTAAGAATTTAAATTGTCATGTGAACTTACCACACCACTAGCTCTCACAATGGGAGCCTTCAAATCTGGAAAGACATTCTCCAAGTACCATTTGAAACTTTTACATTTCAGTTTCTTTCGAAGCTCCCTCTGCTGGGTGAGGTTGCCCACCTCAAGCTCTTGGTCTATGAGGTGATCCCCGTGGCCATAGAACAGCTCCTTGTACTCATCAAGCCAGACCTCAGCCACCCGCACCAAGTTCCGCTCCACGGTCTTCATTCGGTCTTTGGGGAAGGAATATGGATTGTCATTTCTGAAGATGTGGCCCACTCGGGAGCAGGGAATGATCTCAATTTCTCCACCACACATCCACACCTGGAACAATTTAAAGATAGGGCTTCAATTATGAAGAGATTGTTTAAAATCATGGGCAATTAATGACAAGGAGCCACCTGGAGGTTTTGTTTCTCCCAGCTTGAAGTCAAGAAAACACTCCGGTGTTTTCTGAAACTCAGCAGGGTTTATTTAGTTTTATATATTGCGATGCGGACCATTTGATGATTACTAAGATAAATTTTTTTTCTTAACCTGTAATGTAAACTTCTTTTCCTAAAAAAAAAAGAAAATGCTTCACAGAATACCAATGTATAAAACATGTACAATGTGACTATAAATATCAAAGGTATAAAATGTGAGTTCCTGTTTTGGTTGAATCATGGAGATGTAAATGGATGTCCATTTGTTCACCTTCCCCCCTTTTTTTAAAATTTGTATCTTTTCTCTACAGTTTTTATTGGTGCATTATAGTTGTACATAATGGTGTGATTCTTGTTACCTATTCGTATGTGCACCCAATATAACAATAGAATTTGGTCAACATCCCTCCCCAGTATTCCTAACCCCTCCACCAACCCTCTAGTCCCTTTCCCCTATTGTACTGATCTCTCTTTGCTTTTCAGGCCATCACCCCCACCTTTCTCTTCCCTTGACATCTCTAGCTTTAATATACTCTCCTTCTCTTATCCTATGAAGATCCTGGGTCACAATTCAACACTATTCTTGATCAGGAGCTCCAAAGTCCCACCCATTTTACAATAAATCACCAACCCAACAGAAAAGCAGCTGCCTTTTTGACACTTTACAATTGCTGTTGCTAAGGCTTTCTTGGGTTTTAATTTTGCAGCAGTGATTGATTTTTTCCAAATTCAATCTGAGATATGAGAAAATTAATCCAACGACCCTAAAATTTCTGTGAAATTTCCTCCTAGTGTGTTACATATTTGATAATATTAATAAAATGAAAACATGTAAAATGATAAGCTCTTAATTGTAAAGAAAATTTAATTAACAAATTTGATAATAAACTTTAATAAATAAATTTGGTAATACCTTAAATGAGAGCTCCATATTTTCTCCACCCCAAACATCAAGTCCAGGGTCATAGGTTCCAAGTTCAAAAAAGTAATTTTTATCAATAGAAAATAATCCACCTGCCATGACAGGGCACCTATAAAAATGAAAAGATTACTTTTAAGAGTTGGTCCTCTGTATGTTTGTATTAGAGTTAGAGATGTTTCTGAGTAGCCACAAAGTATAGGGAGGTCTCAGGATGGAGTCACAAATAATGCTTGGGAAATGAGTTCTCTGGTTCATGGTGCAAGACTTGATTAGTTCAGCAAAGATGTGGCCTGGAAGTAGGATTCTTCTTTGTTATTTAAACTGTGACATAAACTCTCCGGGGATATAATTTTTAAACATTTACTTAGGGTTAAACTAGTACCAGGCACTATTGTATTATCTGTGTATTAACTTAAAATTCCCCCCAATCCTGCAAGTTTGAACCATTATTAAGAAACCTCAATGCAGAGAAGGTAAGAAACTTTCCCAAGGATGACAGACAAGTATGATGTACATCTCAGGTGCACACTTAGGCAGTATGGCTGGCTGCTGTGCTCTGTGACTGCACGGTACTGCCTCTCAACCATGTGTGAAGCTGATTGACAGCTTGTTCTGTGGCAATCACTGCTTAATGCAGTTTATATATACACACATATGTATATAATCAGATTAATTTTCAAAATGATATAAGCAGTAGGCACTTCTATTAATCTTCACATAGAAACAAGGAAACAGATTCAAAGTGGTTAAGTGAGCTAAAAAAAAAGCTCATACTACTAGTAAGTGGTAGAGATGAAATTCAAACCCAAACAGTCAGACTCCAGAGCCTTGGGGAACAGAAGTGATATTTTAGTCAGCAGGTAGACAAGGCAGTTACCACATTCCATGGTGGTTGCCACTGAGCAAGCTGAAAGTGGGAAAACACACAGGAAGCCTTCATTTGGCTTCAGGTCTAAGCTCTGTTTTCAACCCAGCTTCTTAGTAATAAAGTTCGAATTTTAATTCATATTGGGTTTCTGAGTCTATTTCTTAATTTATTAACAGAATTTGGCAACTGTTTCATGGAGGAAGCAAGATTAGACTATGAAAAAAATCTTACTATAGCTATTATAGTGATATCTCTATGACTATTATTTATTATTTTTAAATTTTTACTCACACTTACTTTAATATTATGTGTGTTATGCAGCATATTCCATGAGTATGTTTCTCACATTGTAATCCAAGGAAACAGGAATAGTATCAAATGGACTTCTCTAGGCTGATTGCTGGGATAGGGTACAATTAACCATGTAAAAAGGAGTTTTAAACTCGAAAACTAATTTCTCAGGAAAACCTGTTTGCTTTGGTAATGTATTGTATAGACCCGAAGTTCTTGAGTTTTTATAGAAAAATAGATTACAGTTATTTTTTAAATTTTTTTTACATACCTTTACAAAAAGATATATGTCTTCTTCTTGGTCTTAAATTTCACATACTTACCGTATTATATCAGTTTCCTTGATTTTGTTTTTTGCAACGACATCTGGAGGAATTGTTTTCCAACCGAAGTTCATGGGCCATACAAAGATACCTCTTTGAAAGTTGTCCACTGTCATATAACTAGTCCAGGAAAACAAAACCGAAACCAAAAATGTGTGACCTGAGGTTAGATGCAGCCTATGTAATTCATCAACTTGGCTCCAACACTTATTCAGGTATGAAACAGGTGCTTCTGCAGGTCATTTTAGATCTTTATCTTTTAGTAACAATTCAAGAAAATTTACAGTTTGTACTGATGATAAATTAACCAGATGGCTTGCATTTAAATTTTATTTTACTTTTAATAATTCCCTAGCCATTTTGGAGGAAGAAACAACAACTTACATACAACATATATGTTTCCTGGAAAAGGAAGGATTAAAATTGAGGAAAATATTTTGGAGTTCAGCTGAATTTAAAGGGGAATCTATTAAATAATGAGTAGTTGGATTTATTGGTATTTAGGGTGTTATGATATAAGGTTTAGATACGAGGTATCCCCCAAAATGACTCATGTGTGAGACAATGCAAGAAGGTTTAGAGGTGAAATGTTCGGTTATAAGAGATTTAACCCAATCGGTGCATTAGTTCCTTGATAGGGATTACATGAGTGATAACTGAAGGTGGGTAGGGTGTGACGGGAGGAGTTGGGTCATTGGAGGTATGCCTTTGGGAAATATATTTTGTATCTGTTAAATGTAGACTCTCTCTGTTTCTTCTGCTCGCTCTCTCTCTCTCTCTCTCTCTCTCTCTCTCTCTCTCTCTCTCTCTCTCCTGATTGTCATATCCAGAGCTGCTTCTCTCTGCCACACTCTTCTGCCATGGAGTTCTGTCTCCTCTCTAGACCCAAGGAATGGAGCTCACCATCTATGAACTGAGACCTCTAAAACTATGAGCTCCCAAATAAAGTTTTCCTCCGAAAAATTATTCTTGTTTTGTCTCTTAGTCACAGCAGCAAAAAAGGTAACTAGAACAGGATTAACTTAAACTTTTTAGGTTTACCAAAGAGATTATTGGACTGACTGGTTCTGATCTCAAGATACTATCATAGGTTCTCATTTATTTGAATAGATAAACTGTGTATTTCTTAAATTTTCAAAAATGCATATTTAGGACCAGAACTTTCTGCTGTGTGTGTGGGCAAAGATGCACTTGGACATATGTATGGCAAAATTACCTCATATCCTTGTCATTGATGACTTCAATTACTGGACAGGCCACTTTCTTTCTACTTAAATAAACTCTTTCCAGAAGAGGTTCCAACCAACCAACATTACATTCCACATGAGAATCTAGGAACGTCAACACATCACCTAGAGAGTAAAAATATAAAATTTAATATATATATATACATATGTTCATATATATAAAATTTGAAAATATGATCTGCTAAGTGCGTATAGGTCAGAGGTGCTGAGGACTTTTCCAGAAATGTAGATGTGAGATGTAGTCTTTTATTCTCCCTGAATGCCTTGTCCCTGTAACTTTTTTTCATAACGATATGAAAGAACTTTGTTCATAAGAGTTTTGTGGGCCAAGCATTATCTGCCTTTGGAAAACAATTGAAAGCTACTTAAAATGAGCAGCAAGTCTCCAAAGAGAACACTCAGCATTAAGGGTAGCTGCTAAAGTAGCTTCTACGAAAGTTTGGTACCATTACTTCTTGGGGTGGTGGTTGTGAGAGTTTGCTTTTCAGAAGACTAGAAAGATTTGGACATGATGGGTTTGGCCATCTGAATGATGGAGAAAAATCACCCCACATAATAGAGGTGAAAAGAAACTAAAGTAGAGGATCCAGCAAGACTGGGAAGTACTTTTAAATGAATTGCTGGAAAGGGGAGCAGGGAGGAGGAAGTTGTTATTTAAGGGTATGGAGTTTTGCTTTTGCACCATGAAAAGGGTTCATGTTCATGCAGATGAGTGAGTATACATAAACTACTGAACTGTACACTGAAAAATGGTTAAGATGATATATTTTATATTATGTATATTTTATCACAAGTAAAAAAGAGTTTTAAGAGAAAAAGAGAAAGAAAAAACTTGAAAGATGAAAGTATTTGTAAGAATTCTTTATTTTCCTACCGTTGGTTGTATGAAGTGACACTCTCCCTCCAACAATATCTGAGTAGCATATACAAAGCTTTAAATGATTTTATGTAAGTTTGCTATATGCATGTGTGTGAATGTAGGGTTGACCAGAATATGAGGCCTCAATCTCTTATGTAATCTCCCAGGCCCAATCACAGGTAAATAATGAAAGCTTTACCTGGCAGGCATTGGGAGGGAAAGTTGCCTTCCCATCAAGACATGACACCCAGCCAATGCACTGCAGTTTCTAACTGGAATTGGGCTTCCCTACCTTCTGCTGGACTTGCTCTTATGTGTATTTGTTCTCGCATCCAGAGGTCTTTCTCATGCCAAAGCCCCTATGAAGAGTGCCTTATGGGAGGTGGATTGGGTCTTGAATACATTTTTCTCTACTCTCACTCAGATTTTGGTGCTTCCTGGTTTCTTGCCATTCCTATCTCTCACCGTGGTCCCAAAAGCTTTGGAACAGGAGGAGCATTTTGTTTTGGGCTCTGCTCTGAATCAACATCCATCACCATCTCTAAAGCAAAAATGCAGGATTGCAGAGACCAACTCTTTCTCCTGTTTAGCATTTAACTGATACTGTTGTAGTAAATGATTGAAGCTTGACTATTCTTTTCATTTTGGCTTATTATTTTCATGGACCACTCTAATAATCAGCTGCTCAGCTAACATTGATTACCATCTATACGTGCTTATTCTTTGTCAGACTCTGTTCTAAGCACATGGGTTTGATTTTTATTCCCATTTAAAAGAAAAGAAATTGAGGAACCAAGAATTTAGGTAACTTTTCTAAGGTTGCCTAGCCAATTAATGCTAATGTGATATTAGAAAATTGGTAGCTCATTTCATAGCTTGTGTTCCTTAAAAAACAAACAAACAAGTAAACAAAGCCAGAAAGAGGCAGAACTTTAAATGAATATGGGAAGGCTTAATGAATAAAGTAAGAATAGTTACTAATGGTAGATTATTATTATTATCTACAAACTATCAATCAATGACATTCAGTATCATATTGTGATGGTTTAGATATAAAATGTCCCCCAAAACTCATTTGTAAGACAATACAAAAACATTTACAGGATCGAGTTGTAAGAGCTTTAATCCAAATAGTACATTAATCCACTATAGGGATTAAATGGATGGTAACTGTAGGTAGTTAGAATGTGGCAGGAGGAGACAGGTCACTGGGTTGTGTCTTTGGAGTTTATATTTTTCCCCTAGTGAACAGAGCTCTCTCTCTGCTTCCATGTCCTGAATGATTTTCTTCTTCACACTATTCTGTCATGAAGCTTTGTCTTACCTCAAACCCAGAGCAACAGAATCAGTCATCTAAAGACTAAGACCTCTGAAACCATGAGCACCAAACAAACTTTTCCTCTTTTAAAATTGTTCTTATCAGATCTTTTGGTCACAGCAAGAAAAAAAAAAAAGCTGACCAAACACATATTAATCACTTGGTCGCCAGTGGATTTTTGCATGAGGGTAAAGTGATCAATTTTATCCCACTATTATAGGCAGAAGCCTCCCTGATATCTGCCTGCTCTTGAATATGGCAGTTACATTTCCCAATCATGCTCTTTGAGTCTTGTTTTAGGGCATTTCAGCTTATTTGATAATGGAAGATTATTGCTCCTGCTCTGGCCTGAATGTATTTGCACTCCCAAATTCATATGTTAAAATCAACTTTATTTCCATTTAAGGGGGAGGGGCTTAGAAAGTCACAATGGGACCCTCTGGAATGGGATTTTATGAGTGTCCTTATAAAAGTTGTCCATGGGAGTTAGTCTCCTTTGCCTTTCCAGCATGTGAGGACACAACAACTTTGAAGCAGAGAATGAGACTCTCTAGACACTGAATCTGTTGGCAACTTGATCTTGGACTTTTCAGCCTCTGGACCTATAAGGAATAAATGTGTGCTGTTTACAAAATTACACTGCTTAAGGTATTCTGCTATTCCAGTTGGAATACATCCCTTAAACATGTCGTCTTGTACAGCCTTCTCCCCCGTGGGGAAAGGCTCACAGTGTTTTCTAGATGCATAGGGCACACAGGCATAGCTTATGAAGACCCACTTGGCTAATGGTGTAGAATCTGACAACCATAGTCTCCTTTCTCTCTACCCCTATTCACGATCGGATCAGAACCAGAGTTTAAAGAACATCGCTAGTACACCATCTGTCCCCATCCCCATCACAGGCTTACAGGGTCAAAGGAGCTTAGATTGACTTTCTTAGTGCCCACGGGCACCAGGATGGGTCCCCAAATCTTCATTCACGTCCCACCTGATTCAGATCATCAAAAAGATTCTCATTTACCTGTTACTAGAATCTGAGGGAAGCACAAAATAGTCTGGAATTTTATATTCTTTTATTTGGGGAAAGAGGAGAAACCTCCTATGCAGGACTGCCTTTGCTCCACTTTCAGACATTTCATGTTAAAATAACATCTCAGGTTTGTGTTAGATAAGCAAATAAAGAGCTTTCTGTGCAGGATTTTTAATTGTGGTGGATAGTGGGTGTGACACTGTGCACAGTGTTACTGACCCTAAAGGATATAAAACTGAAGTTTTTAATTGCTTTTATCTCCATTTCTGCTCTTCCCAACCACACTGGATAAATCACTTAATTTCTTTGAGCTTTCATTATGGGAATGTTTTCTAGGATCTACCAAATACCAAAATTCTTAATAACTGTCTAGTATTCTCCTTTTTTTTTCAATGAATGTTCAAACTCAGGCTTAGAATAACTCTTCTAATCTTGATTATAACCTGGCAGGATTTTCTGTTTCCTAAGACTAGGTCTGAGTAATGCTAAATTGTTTGCAGAAGAGTTTCATTGTAACTTAAAAAGGAATTTTCCTTTTCCTATCTAAAGTTGCTCAATGTGCCAAACAGTTTTGGCTCCTTGTTGAGCACAGACCCCACTACTCTCCCTAAACTTATATTTAGTCGACCAGCATGGCAAGTTGCTGCCAGCACTAATTAGTGCTAGAGTGTTATGTTTAGGGTTTCTTAAGAGATACTGGCATGGCTTACCATTTCATTTTACATAATGACCTAAAAGTGATACTGAGAAAACCACCTGTTTAACCTGTATCAGAAACAGGTTTGCAGAAGGAGGTCCACTGGTACCTTTCTGGAAATCATGGAGTTGCCCGGAGTTAGATGTCACTTGTGCAGTCACTGAAAGTTAGTAACTGTCATTGGAATGTTCACAGCAATGTCAAGAATTTTGCTAAATGAATTGTCATGAAGGAAATGAGAATCCAATCTTTACTTTGACTCTCACTGGTAAGCTCCCCCACTGGACTCCTTCACATGGTGAAGGATTCTTAGAGATCATTGCCTACATTTTGAAATCCTGCTTGGGCCTTTGACCTCCTCATTTGCCTCATGCTAGTGATCGGACCTATTTTTTTTTTTTTTTTTTTTGCCTGAGTTAGACTCAAATAAAGAGCCCAACAGACCTTGAAGCCTGAATATATAGTGAAGCCTGAATACATTGTAAGAGAGATTACTGTTAGTTCACTGATTATTTCCCAGATGACTCTTTCAGAGGGACAGATAATACCCTTACGCCAAAACAGGCTGCTTGCCTTCTGTTTCAGCCAGCATCCCCTTGGAATTCTGATCTTAGCCTTTCTGTTGCTTCCCTTGTCTTTGAATCTTAACAGGTAAAATTTAAAAAGAATTTTTTTTAGTTGGAGATTGTCACAATGTCTTTTATATGATGCTGAGGATCAAACCCAGGGCCTCATGCATTTGAGGCAAGTGTTCTACCTCTGAGCTACAACCCTAACAGGTAAATTTTTAGGGAAGAACAGCTATCAAGGCCTTTTAGATTCTTGACTCTTCCTATGCAGGAATGCCTTTGCTCCACTTTCAGACATTTCATTTTAAAATAAGACTCAGTTCATTATATTTTCTCTCTGTTTGGCTAAGGTATTCCAGAGAGCATTTCTGCCTGGTATCTTAGCTGATCTCTGTTTTGCATGGATTCTCAGGCCCTGAGCAGTCTCTGGGTCATCTCTGGGTCATCTCTTGGTCATCTCTACCTATGAGGGCTGGGAAGCACTCAGGGAGCTTGAGAGGTCTCCATAGGCCAGCCAGCCCTGTTGAAAGCCTGTCTCTAAATTATATCTTCAGCTAAAGCTGGAACAGGATCCAGAAGCACCTTGAATCCCCACAGGGATCAGCGTACCTCAAGGAGCTTGGATGTGTCCTCAGGCAAGGCTGTTACTAACCCATCACCCCTCACCTTTCTGCTTTTGTCCAAACTTTTAAGCATTGACTCTCCACTAATGCTACTCAAAGTGGGGGTCACAGACCCTGCTATCTACAGGAGACGGGAACAGAAATTGAGAACAAATGGTCTGCAACTTTAAGCAATGTGCCAGAGGAATTTATTAATTTACTGTTACACATAAATAAAATGTTAATACATATATACATATGCATATAAACATATATATGTATATGTATATATATGTATATATACATATATATGTATCAACATTTATATATATAATTTAGTATCCACTGGAACTTGTTTCAGAATCCTCTGCAGACACCAAAATTCTCAGGTCCTCAACTTCCTTATATAAAATGACATAGCATTTGCATAAAATGTACACAAATCCTTGTACTTTTAAGATTATCTCTAGATTACTTATGATAACTAACACAATACAAATGAATAAATAGCTGTTATTATTTTATTATTTAGGAATAATGACAAGAAAAAAGTCTGTACATGTTCTGTTCATATGAAATTTTTTTTAAAAAAGTTTTTGACCCATAGTTATTTGAATCCATGCACACAGAACCCATAAGTATGGAGGAATGGCTACATATGTATGTGTGTGTATATACATGTGTATATAGGTGTATATTTATATATGTTTATATTTGCAAATATATGTTGTATGTATGAAAAATGGTTTGTATACATCTATTTTTTATTCCTTTTAAGATAATTTATTTTTACTATAATTTACAAAGAGATATTTTGATAAGTATCTTTCTACTAGGTTGTGGCAAAGCAATTAAGATACAAATAGCTGGGGTTTTTTTTCAGACAGAGATTAGTGACCCCTTAGTGAATTATTAAATCAATTTAGTGTGATTGTCCAGAATGTAAAAAACCAAATAATATTTGAAAGAAAATGTTAGAATCCATTGCCTATGTCATTTGATGAAACATCTACCATAGATATACATGTGATTATATCTGCACAACACAAATCATTGTCAAAATAGTTTGAAAATTACTGCACTGAAATTGAGCTAATGTTTTCAATGAAAGCATAAAAAACAAACTTATATTTTTACATTTGAGTTTGCTAAACTCAATGAAATTATTTTATGGATTATAATTGTAACCAACTATAATTTATTTTCATCAGGCTCATCACATCTGGAGAGTGCCTCTCATTGTCTGACATTTTGGACTATTCTGGAGGTCATCATTAGCGTACTTTGTGCTCCATGTAGGCAGAGAAAAACCCTCTGTATCAGCAGCACATTTTTGGCCCTGTGTTTACCAACTTTTTCCATATGGATGTCTAATCTTCATTTTAAATCTTCATGGACAAAATCAGAATCCAACTACATTCACCAAGTTGTTCAAGTATTTTTTTTTATTCCTCCCTTTCTCACTCTTTCACTTTTTATCTAATCATAAGTCCTACAGGCTCAGTGTCCGTAATACACTATGACCTTTCCCCAATCACAATGTATTATGAATCTGACTGCTTCCTCCAGCTTCCATGGGACCTTTCTGGTCCTATACAAGTGAAAAAGCATCCTAACTGATCTATTTCTTTTCTCATTTCTTTAATATCCATTCTGTACATGGTAGCCAGAGTGAGCTTTTAAAATAAAACCAGAAAATTAAACTCTTATATTTAATATCCTTCATGGTTTAATTTAATTTTGAAACTAATGTCTATATTCCTTAACTGATGCACAAAAGTTTGCTTTTGCCTTGCAGTCCTGGTTAATCTGTTACCACTCTCTCCCAGTCAGCTCCTGTCAGGACTAATGGACCTCTCCTTTACCTTGAATATACTGAGCTTATTTCTGCATTAATACATTTGTACTTATTGTTCTATTACCCTGGGAATGTTCTTCAGCTTCAAAGTTAAATAATAAAACTATTTCTTTACTATTTTTCATCATTCATAGATAATTACATTCTGAAGGAAATTAAATATGGAATCCCATTTAATATTTCCAAATGAAATATTAAGAATCTTAGTTGTCACTGCAATGCCAAGTTTGGTGTGATGTATTTGTTGCTTGCTTAAATTTTCTACTGAAATGAGAAGAAGTTTGTTAGCAAATCAATGGGAGAAGAGCTCTAAATTTAGGATCTAGTTGCAAGGAAGTAAAACTCCAGGAGGAGATCATTGACCATGAGAACACTCTTGACTTCAAGTTGGTAGAGGTTAGCAGGAGGCCCCGAGTGGTGACTAGATGCTGGGAGGCAGCAGGGAGTGGTAGACAAGAGCTCCAACTCTGGAGCCTGGGTGTTTGGTGCCCATACTGGCTTTACCATAATGAGCTGAGAGAACTTGGGTCAGTTGTAACTCTGCCATACCTCCATTCCCATCTTTGAGGAGAGGAAATGATTGTGCCTCTCTTCCAGTTATTGGAAGGGTCAAATCAGTTAATATAGTAAGTATTTAGAATAGTACCTGGCATATAAGATCAGCTGTTATTACAGGGTGCAGATCCCTCCATAGAAAGATATAAAAATGAACACAAATGTTTGTTGTTATTTTTAGAATTCATTGACAGACAAAATTCACTCTGACATTCATTCCCCAACACCCATACACTAAAAAGAGGAGAGGAAAGAGAATATATTGCATTTTGGGAAAACAGAAACAGCTATAGAAAGAACAGAGATAGATCAGAGAAGACCTTTAAGAATTAAAGATTCTGGCTGGCTGGCATGCAGTAATCCCAGCAGCTTGGCAGGATGAGGCAGGAAGATCTAAAGTTGAAAGCCAGCCTCAGCAATTTAGCAAGACCCTAAGAAACTTAGTAAGACAATGTCTTATAATAAAATACTAAAAAAAGGGCTGGAGATGTAGCTCAGTGGTAAAGTACCTCTGGATAAATCACTAGAAACCCCTTCCCCCAAAATAAAGATACTGAAGTTTCAAATACTGATGAGATCAGGTCAAAAAGGCTCAGGCTTATAGTGGCTCAAATCTAAGTCAAGTTGAGCAAAAAAAAGAAAAAAAGGAATAAGATGCAATATATACATTGAATTTTTAAAAGCCACAAATTCATAGTATAGTGATGGAGGATATAATAGGGGGGGAGAAGGTAGGAGAGAGGGTAGGAGATAAAGATAAAGGAAGAGATAAAAAGGGAGGGACAGGGAGAGGGCCAGGACAGAGAGGTAATTCTTTATTACAAATGACTGTCAGGTAAAACAAGAGGAAGAAATTATTAGAAAACAATGTTGCAGTTCTCAGTATAATTGGTTCAAGCAAAGATCATTAGTGTATCCTAAACCATTGTGTGAAACCTCACAAGAAATCAGCATATTCTCATGGATCAAAGTATTAACCGCCAAGCAACTTTTTACCCTCAAGGAAAATATCAAGCTGTCAACTTCTTAACTGTTTTCAAAGTTAGTATCAGTGACAGTGGGACAATCTGACATTATATACCTTTTTATATGAAGCAGTAAGAAGTACACAGTTCTTATCACCTAATAGTAGATATTACTAAATATATATTACTCATACAAAAACATTTAGCCTGTAACATTTAACCTTCTGCACTCTGTAGGTAGTATGAGGAAATAGAAAATTTCAGAACACAGAAAGTAGTATAAACAAATACCCTAGACTATTTTTTTAAAAATACTATTTTTAGCACAAAAGATGGCACTGAGTATTCTAGATTGATAGACTAAGGAGACCAAATAATACAGTGTATGAAACTTAATTAGATCCTGAATTTAAAAAAAAAATGTTTGAGAGCAATGAGAAAATTCAAAAAGAGCATTTACAAGTATTAGGCATTATTTAGGTATAAAAATTATACTTATTTAAGAGAATATTCCTATTCTTCAGCAATGCCCATTGAAATACTTAGTGGTACAGTATCATGTTGTCTGTAAATTTCTTTATAAAATTTCAAAAAAGTTGTGTGTGTGTATGTATATATGTGTGTGTGTGTGTGTGTGTGTGTGTTTTCATGGTTGTGTGCACATGCGCTCATCTTTCTGGGTCTTTGTCTGTTTAGTGCATAATGCACATATTCCAAAAGGTTAAACATTGGTAGAATTGAGTGATGGATATGTAAATGTTCAATGTATTATTCTTCTGAATATCCTGTATGCTTGAAAATATTTTAAATTAAAGCAAAAATATAATGAAAACCAAATAAATAAATAAATAGAGTAGCTTCTTACCTGTTGCATTCTGTGCTCCTGCCAGCCTGGCTCGTATTAAGCCATGTCTCTCCTTGAGGTGAAGAATTCGAACTTTTGGAAACTGAGACATGTATTTATCCAAATTATCTTTTAGGTAGTCTACATAAGAGTAAGGACAGACAAGGAGAAACGTTAACTTTGTAACTGGGTCTGCACCCAGATTGCCTCTGTAATGTCAAATTCCAAAAACTGAGATTATTATGGTCACTAAATTTTACTGTTTGGGTTAAAGTTTTACTTTCTGACATAATTTTCTTGCAAAGTTTTATTTTTTTATATCATTTTCTTGCAAAGTTTTATTTTCTGATATCATTTTCTTGTTCAATATTATAAGCCTCTGGATTTCTCCAGCAGCAGGAGAGAATTTAAGCCATGCGTGCAAACTGGAAATTTTGCAAAAGAATCTGGTGGGGCTATGGTCATTTGCCACCACTACCCTTCCCTGCATGGATATTCCCTCAGTCAGGCAATTTTTTAAATGTTTTTAGATATTCATTGGGGGATCCAGCTAAAGGAACATTTTTGGATATTTTAAAGATATGTGGTTTGCAGCACTTCTGGGTTCAATGAAGCTATTGACAGCTGTACCAAGCAAGAATGCCTTCCAGGAATATTTTGCAGATCATTTTCCTAAGAATTTTGTATTATTTTTTCTGAAGGAGGACCCTGAGAACTATGTGAATTCCAGGTCCCACAAAATCTGGACCTACCTTTCAGAAAGAAACTTTTTTACTGCTTATTATCTAGATACCATTTTTCTGTTTATGTTTCAAGGCCACTTCTTAAAGTTTCAGTTTTCCTGGGGTATCACATTGCTTCTTGAGCTTGGTGTGATTAAGGCTAAACTGTTCTAGAAACACTGTCATCTCTTTGCTATTTTCTAAAATTTAATGAAATGGGCTGTGTTTTTGGAATTTATAATGTGCCAATAATTGAACCTGTGAGACCACTCATATACACAAATTGTTTGAAAACCCCAAGAGTGAAATTCTTCATTACAATAAACAACAACAAATTTAAAGATGGCAGTGGACTCTGTTTTTGAACTCTGTTGAAACCACATCTCTCTGGACCCACTGGAAATGAATTTTTGGCACCTTTAACTTGACACTTAATCTGCCCTGAGGAAGAAGAACAGAATCTCCATTTCTTTGTTTTCCATAGAACTTAATTCTAGTTAACACCAATAGGAAAGTTGTTCTATTAACATGGGACTTCTGCTTATTAGATTCTATGAAGAAAGTCTTATACAATTGTACGGAACATTTCTGGACTCTGATATTCAAAGTGTGTATCTTCAGAGAGCTGTAGTTGTAAAATCACTTCTATGTGTGTAGGGGAGTCATAGGTGAGGAGAGCCTGAGGTAGGTAGCTGAACAAAGTTCCAGATGAGTTCAGGTCCTACAGATGCTTAAACTCATGCCTCTAAGTCTCCACATGAAACAATGATTTAGAATTTTATGAATTTTATCAAATTAACTGTAATTTTGCGATCCAAACTACTATTGCCTCCCACCAAATGTCGACATTTCGGAAGAAAGCTTGAGTAGGTTAGTACCTTTGGTGCTAAAGTCATCAACCAGCACAATCTCCTTGATGAGGTGCGGAGGAGAGCGGTTGAGGACACTGTGAACGGATCTCAGGAGAGTGGACCACACCTCATCCACGAAGCACATGATCACACTGGTAGTTGGGAGGTTATCGTGAACTAGTTGTTCTGCACACCTGGGTCAGAATAGAAGCAAAGTATAAAGATGAAATCCATAAGATGGTTTGAGAATCATTATCACCACAATACACACATGCACACAACACAATCCTCTATTTATACACATATATATTTACATATAAATAATCATTTTAGCAAGTGTCTTTTCTTGGGGGAAGGAGTACATGCAAAATAAAAGAGCAGCAGCAAAATAACCAGTAACCAGTAGCAGAAGTTGCTGTAAAGAACTAGTAATGCGAGCCAGGAGCGCTTCCTATGAAGGCAAGAGGCAGAGAATACAGGGACCATTCATATCTTCCTTAAGCTTTTGTGCTCCATTTCCTCATCTGCAAAGTGAGATAATGGTCATTCAAAGTTTCATAAATTAGTGATGATGGTTCAGAGCTAGCATAGTTCCTGGCACAGCAATTCACTAAATCTAGTGTTGTGATCATTATTAAATTATATACCAGAATAGAGCATTTCAAGGTTTTTGATGTTGCTAAGTAGTTTATGATTACCCTTGTAACTGGCCATCCGCCAAGTGCCAAAAGGAATGTTCTTTCTTCTACTCAGCATGTAAATGCATTTATGGTATGATATTTATGCACCAAATAATTATGATGTTCCAGCTTCCCTCTGTATCTGGAGAGTCCTTGCTCAGACTCTGCTACAGAGTAGACATAGTTGAAGTTACATTGTTGGCATAGACATGAGAGCAGGCTGGATGGGAAATGGTGGTTTTCCACTGGTCTCAGGTCTTTTCCATGATCTGCAGTTTATCCTGCCCCATTGCTGGCACTGTTCTAGGTCCCACCTGTTACTCCTTACAAGAAGGCACCCAGTGGAGCCTCACAGAGAGCATTTGCCATCCCACCAACACAATTCCTCTTAGTAATAATTAATGATGATCATAGATAAATATTATAAACACTGTGCCTCATTCTGATTTAAACCTCTACTATCCTCCTTCCCCATTTTACACATGAATGACTGAAATCAGGGAGAAACTAGTTTAAATGGCAGAGCTGGGACTGAAATTCTGGTCCAGTCTGGCTCCAGAAGCAACCATTCAGAAAGTCTTAAGTCTACAATAGAAGCAGCTGCTTATAGATGTGACATTTGTGAGAACTGATGCCTCTATTGAATAACATAATTATACTTTGTTTATTTGATAAATGACAAATAGAGAAGAGTAAAAATCATAATAGAACAAACCACATTGGCTTGATACTTTTGATAGCTAGGAAAATACTATTATGTGCATGTAAATTATTAGTTAATTATGTGTGACAGTTGCTTGAGATAAATATTATTCGATACTTCTTCAAATAGAAATAAAAACGAAGAATGAGAAGTTAAATGACTCACCTGGTATCATTCATCTAGAATGATATGGCAATGTGAACAAATGGTTCTCATTCTACTGCTCTATGCTAGTTTTTCTGTAGTAGGTGTATGGGTTTGGGAATTAGATGAATATGTGCTCAAATACCAGTTCTCCCTAATTACTGGCTTTATGAAGTCATATAATTTCTTTAAACCTTAGTTTGCCAACTATGAAGCAGAGATTTAAAATACGCTTGGCATATATCTGACTCACAGAATGTGCTCAAGAGATGGGTGGCAAATCCAGCTATGCCCTGTAATATCAATGGCTGGGTATCATAATAACCAACAAAACCTTAGGAAAATGTACCTATCCAGTCCACAACCTCAGAAAACCAATTCAGAATGTTTGCATAGTGTCTGACAATCTGTGTCTTAATAAACAATAAACAAAACTACATGAAAAATAACAAGGAACAGAATAAGAACTCAAAAGGCACTGATAGTCTAGTTGGGGCACTTATGTTCTAATCTAAAAATTGATTTATTCTCTATATTGTTTATGACTGATCTTAAAGTTAAATGGAGGGTTTAACACTGGTGCTAAATTTTCAAGTGGTGTAAAATCAAAATAACATTTTAATCAGGTATCTTGATCTAATGATCAGGTATATAGTGTTAACATAAAATAGCAGACTGTTTAAACTAATCTTAACCCTATTCTATACAAAATATCTATGAATTGGCAATCTGAATAATATAAGATATTCCTGACCTCACTTAAGTGCCATATTAGTTTCTTGTGGCTACTGCAGCAAATTAATAAAAATTCTGCTCAACAGTTCCTTCCTCAATTCATCTCTTTCCTCCCACATTTTACTATGGACAGAAAAAAAGTCATACCTTGAACACTTTGCTTGGTACTCTCCTTAGCTAAAATATTTATCACTTGCAAGTTCTGCTAATTTATTCAGGCTTCCTGTCACTACTTAACACACTTTGTCTTTCCTCCAGTTCCCAATAATTTGTTCCACATTTCTTTTTGAGCCATAGCAAGAAGCACTTACAATGCTCATAGTTCGTATTCACAGAGATAATAGAAACTTCCTTATTTCCTTCTGAGCCCACACAAGTAGCATGTTTAGCATCTATTTTCCTACCAAAATATCTTCAGGATAATCTATACTTTTTCTTACATGATACTAAAATTCTTCTAGCTTCTGTTTATCTAATACTCAATTATATTTCTTTGGCACAAAAGATCACATCCAGTCTTTTGCTACATCAGGTAATATTAACAGGTCCTGGAAATAAGAAGTAAATATATCTTTGGGGGGGGCATTTTTATCAGTCTGCCTCAAGGATTTAATAAAGTATAAAATATGGAATTTTTGAAGGCAGATGTGTCTATTATTTCTTTTAATATGTGGGTGCCTCCCCCTTATCCCTCAAACAAAAGTAGGTTTACATAGATTTTACAGAATTGTTAAAATACACCTTCTTCTTCTCCTTCTTCTCCTTCTTCTCTTTCTTCTTCTTCTTAAAAAAACTATCTTTGGAGCTTCTTTGAAATCTATGAATTTATAAAATGAAACCTATGAAAGTGTTAATTGACAAATACCAAATTATGAATCATTATATTAACACTTAATTTTATAAAAGAACAAAAATTTAAAAAGAAAAGAATATGAATTAAATGATTGCAAGTTTTTTAAATAAAAAAATGTGCTTGGTTGCATAATTAACAACAAATGGGGGACAATTTTGGAACTAGAAAAGCTTTAGATTCTGAAAATTCTTTTACAATTAAAAAAAAAATCTCTAATGTAAGAGATCTCTCTGGCAGTGATCATCAAAGGCCTGAGCCATGAGACTGCAGTTTCACAGGTAGGGAAGGGGCAGGGCTATAGCACAAGGAAAAAGAGCCAACAGTGTATGTAGGAATGGAGAATATTCTGAAGACTATTCTCTGGGAAACCTAGAAAGGAAAGAATTTGGAGGGTGGGATTCAGGGCAAATCTGTCACCTGTGTTCCTTTCCCTCTCCTCAATGGTGAGGAACACAATCCTACTTATGGGCTCCAGGGAAGGGGCGGAGAGAGTTGAGAGCTGACACCATGCACCGCGCCCCCCTGCCCCCCAAAAAAGAAAAAAGAAATCAGTAATTGGTAGGATTAAGTAAGGTTACTTTACTTTTCTCAAACTTACAGCAGCAGTTTATGCAATTAACCAGCCTAATCTCCCTCATTCACTCTTCCTACCACCACCCTGCTTTTTATTTTCTGTTCCCAAAGGACAAGACATGACACTTTCTGAATTTTCACCCATTATTGGCTTTTCATTTTCAATTCCTTAGTTTTTAATCTCTTCATAATTTCTGATAGAAGATTCTCAGAGCTGGGTCCTGGGATGTTTTCTTCTGTGTATGATGTCACTGGATGATCCCCTCCGGGCCCACAGTTTTCAGTATGATAATGTCTCAAATTTATATATTTAGATGAGATTTCACCTCTGACTCCAGACTCATGTGTTCAATATGATGCTTAACATCTTCCCTGCATGTCTCACATGCATCTTACACACAAAGTATCTTTAACAGGAATTTTGATTTCTCCCCACCCAGAGTAGCAGGTTATCTACACTCTCCCCTCTCACTACCCACCATGCTTTCATCATGTAGATGCCATTCTAGACATCACACTCCTCCTGGCTGCAAACAAAAGGCATCTATCAGCTCTGCCCCTAGTTTTGCCAGAATACATCTCAATTCCAACTTCTTTAAACTTCCATATCTCCCCCACCCCATTCTTGAATTTTCTCCATCTTTCTCTAGGATTCTGCTAAAGTCTCCTGATAGGACTCTATTTTCTCTCTTTGCTATATCCTTGCCACTTTCCTTCTTAAATCCTTCAGTTAATCCCTATTGGACAAAGCAAAAAAAAAATATATGTGTATATATATATATATATATATATATACATATATAGATATATATACATACATACATATATATCTCCTTCATTATAGCTCGAGGTTCCTCTGTTCATCTTCCAACTGGCTGTCATTCTACTTCCTCTCATATACTTTACCTAGCTATCTTGGTCCTCTTTAAGGTCTTTCATAATGTTAAATTTCTAACTCTTGTTATTTTCTTAACTTGGGGCCATTTTCCTAGCCTCTTCATGCCTTTGTGGCTGAGTTCTTCTCTTTATTTAGCATTAGCTTGAATATAACCCCCATGGAGAAGCTTTCTCTTGCTCCCCTATTGAAAGTGCATTCTTCTGTTATTCTCTCTCTTTTTTTAATATTTATTTTTTAGTTGTAGTTGGACACAATCTTTATTTTATTATTATATGGTGCTGAAGATTGAACCCAGGGCCTCACCCATGCTAGGTGAGTGCTCTCCCCTGAGCTACAATCCCAGCCCCTCTTCTATTATTCTCTGTTATAGTCACTTTTGCTTCTGCCATAATATTGACTTATCAATTTTCTTTCCATTTTGTCTACATCCAGATTTTAGTGAGTAGAAGTCAAATCTGCCTTCTTTTCACATTACCACAAGCTTCTAGCATGGTTGCACATGACAAATATTTGATAAACATGTACTGAATGGATCAGATGGAATGAAACTTAAATTTAAAGCTTAAATAGTGGAAGATTAGATATTTCTCTCTGAGATAGAAAATAAA